ACTGATAAAATTCAGTCTGCACCAAAGAAAGGACTAGACACGTCACACTTGTTACTAGTGTCCAATCAAAATAGACCGAATCTACCAGCTAATAAAAAGTGAATCATGTGACGAGAAAGTTTAAAATCCAAGTCAATAGAAAATGAGCAATACATATGTAAAGATGGCTACCGGGAGAAGCACTCTATTTATTGTAACAGTCTTATGCTTATTATAACTTAAGCGTTTTTCGTGAACTTTAATTCCACTGTGATCTTACTAAACAGATCGATATTATTTAAAAAACACTAATATTGTTATTGACTACTATTCTAGCATATTCTATGTATATAAACATATATATAATAGCGGAGCCGGAAGAGTAAATTATCGAAAAGGATATTATTTGCTCAACTTCTTTATTTTTTTCCTAAATGTCTGAATGAATATTTTCGCCATAATCAAAAACTGTGTAAACATACGAATATGAAATAATTACCATTATTACATTCACACTTTATTCCTTCCTCTCTCAACTAGATCTATTTTGTAGCATAACTGTGATGTAATGGTGTATTCATTCTTTTGTCTGTCACATGGCAAGCACGTGAACTACTTTTTCTTTTACTTCAAACGTGTTCATTAAAAGTTTTCAGACAGTAAAAGCATTCCATGTGATTACCTAGTGAAATGGAACTATTTAACTATTAAAGGTTATATTCAAGTATTGGTTTGTGTAGGGATTTGATTGATTGGTTACAGGATTTCATCATGAGCTGACACATCGGTTAGAGCATAACCATTGGAAAACCACCAATGGGTGTACTGGATAGCCAGCTGTCTCGTCAACCTAGATTGGACTCATCACCAGTACGCACACACCTCACAGTCAGGGTTCGAACCCAGGACTTTCTGGTTACAAGGCGAGTTAGCTTTTAGGGCATTAAGCCATTGGGACCGACCAATCCAATGGCCAGTCACTGCATGAATTCCAACTTCTGTCAATTCACAACATAGCTCAATCGCCAGCCAATGTCTTCGTTGGCCAGTATTTGTCCTCACACCCGATCACCTTCTGTACCCTACTGGTCACGAATTCCCACTAGAACATACCCAGGTAACTACCTACCTGAATAGGGCCAGTCACTAGTGAGCATTCGTGGAATTTGGAATTCACGGACTGGACATTAGATTGGAGGGCTACGGTGGTTTATGATGCACGAGCTAGCTCTCCTGGTAACCAGAAGGTCCTGGGTTCGAAACTCAGCTGGTGCGTACTGCTGAACAGTCACAAACTAGGCTGACGAAACAGCTTGAACAATCCCTAAGTAAATGTTATTGCGAAACCAACGAGATCTCCTTTCGGAACATCACTGCATAGCTGTGCAGTTATTTACAAGCTTAAATAATGTTAAATGGCTACAAATGTCAGAATAGTCAAAAACTCAGTTCTAGAGTATAGTATTACTTCTTGTAATGCAGAATCAGCAACAACATTTCATTCGAAGTCATACATAAAGTAGGATCAAGTGATTCGGAAACGACTTCGCCTACATCTTATTCACTCGGCCGAAGCTGTATTCCCTTGGGTCCCAAGTGGAACACAGGGATTCAACAACACATCTACCTTTTCTTATATTCTCTGCTGTCCTCCTCAGATGGCTGAGCCCACGATTATTGCGCGTAGTCTCTCACCCCCTCCGTGTCATCCCACTCATCGCTTTGTACTCAACTTCCACTCGAGCAATGGCCTGCATTGGGCGTGATGTCATTCGGCCGACGACCTCCTCAATGGAGGGAATGCTCGATCCCTCTCCATTTTCTTCTGCATGTTTGTTGAGCGATTGGCTCTTGCTTTGTTGGTTTGTTCATCGCCAGAGTTTCTTGTTGCTAATTCTTCCTAATCATTTGATCTTCAGTGTGGAGCCGGCGAAGCTGGCAGCTGGTGATAAAAGTCTGCACTAGCTTGTTGGAAATCCTTTCCGTGACTAATGCACAGTGCAAGTTTCTGACCCGTAAAGAAGAAGAGATCGACTGACTTCACATTCCTCTTGAATACAATCCGAATCATGTTTTTCATGCTGACTGGCTGAGTGAGTGAAGTAGAAGATTTCCAAACAGGTTTCAGGTTGATGAAAGCGTATTTCCGCTTCTGAATGACTGGTTGAGTGGCTTTTTCATCTTTACCCGTGCTGCCTGTCTGCCTGCATGTGGTTGAAACCGTACTGACTTCCTGGTCAGGTAAGTGAAGACAGAAAGTAACCTGTGTCAAATCTGTCCCTCCCGTTGATGGTGATTGGTGCTGGTTGTTGTTGTTGGTTGGTTG